GGATCAAAGAGATTAATACTGAGAGTTGTGATTGCTGAGATAAGTCTTAACCTCATGAACATGTTATTGTTCCAAAAAATTATCATGTCAGCAAGGTGGTAACACTGAGATTTTCTACAATCGGAAATTAGTATAGTTATGTTCTGTTGTAAATCCATAAAATGCAAATGAATTACACAATGATCAGCACAAAAATCACACTAGGAGCATCATTCCAACAGCTAAAAAAAGCATGTATATTATATTTAACCACTAGATCTAGCAGAATGAAATTAGATATAATTGACCAAATAATTTTCTTGCTCTCTTAGAGAGCTGTAGATAGATTTTGGCGTTATCAAATCCAAATGGTTCTGACTTTTTTTTGATGGAGTCTCTTGCTCTGCACCAGCTGGAGTGCAGTGGCACAATCCAGCTCACCGCAACCACTGCTCCTGGTTCAAGTGATTCTCCGCCTCAGCCTCACTGAATGTGAGTATGCGGCACACACCACCATGGCCCCAGCTACATTTTGTATTTTAGTAGAGACGGGTTTCACCACAGTTGGCCTAGAATGGTTCATCAAATCCCGAACCTCTAGATTCTGCCCGCCGTGGCCTCCCAAAGTCTGGGACTTAACACGATGTGAGCATGTGCCCGCTGGTTTCTGACATATTTTTAAGAAAGATTTATGCTGAATGCTATGGTAAACTCAGTGTATTCTATGATAATCATTCACCTTTGTAAGTAGGAGTACCAATATTCATGATTTTCAAGCTGTTCAGATGCATAATCACCCCACTTACCAGACTCAGAATTCTTGAAAATCCCTGGAAATATATTAGCAGAGTTAATATCACAGCTCTAAGACAGACCTCAAAAGCATTACATAGTATTGGTACAAAAGATCGTCAGTCTGCCAAAGTAGTCTTGATTTGATTTGCTTTTTGAATGATTTTAAAATGTAAAGCTAAAGTCTCAGGATCACTGCACTGGGTTTCTATTGAACAACACTCGAACAGGGCTGCCACTGAAACACCTTGGATGAAGCGCTCGAACTCCCTGAACACAGCATCCCAGCACACTACTTGGAGAATACTGGGAACTCAAAAATGCGTTGCTGAATGGATTATGACTTGTTGGAGAGAAGTAAGAACGTTTATGTAATTCTCCAAATTAGTAACTACACAGAATAATCAGTACTCGGAAATAAAAGTAGCCGTTAACAGTAGTAACTAAATAACAGTAGTACTAATTAGCCCTACACTAGTAGTCAGTAATAAAGTGCATTGCTATTGATTCTACCCATCTATCTACCTACCTGTCTGGAATGGGAAGGCACAGGATTTGACCTGATAAGATTGGGCTTGCAGTGAAAAAGACGCCCGCTCATTGATACTCTTAAGCAGGTATGCACTCATAACCTTGGTATCATGTACTGTTCTGATTCCAGACCATGGGCTAAAGGGGAAATTTTGTGTTACTGTGTCTCACATTTCCCTATTGGTCTATTTGTCTAACCACTGTTGCTAGAACTCATTTTACTCTGACTACCTTTTATGTACAGATACGCCTGTTATTGACAGATTCCCACAATCTCCAACGCGATCCGGAGACATTGGCCCAATACTTACACCTACACCAAGGCCTTGGGAGAAATGGTGGTGCAGCAGGAGAGCAGGAGCCTAACCATCGCCATCATAAGGCCCTCCATTGTGGGAGCAATGTGGCATAAGCCTTTCCCAGTAAGCCCACTTGCCTGGATTCTGTGTTTTGCTTTCAAACTAAGGTTTTTCTAGCCCAATTATTTTCTGATGTCTTTCTTCTTCTCCTCAGGATTTATAGTTAAATGCAGCCAATCAAAAATGAACCCATTATACTAGGGCAAAATCCCACTTTGGGATCATGAGGCTCTTTCTGGCAGTTACCCTGACTATCTTAGAGTTGGATGGAGATCTTAAATTAGCTTCTAACTACTCTAGTCTCAAAATTCCCATGGGTGATGTTTTTATATCTTGGCTTTCCCACTATAGCTTAAACAGACCAGAATGTTCTTGATGGCCAACTTGATAGTATTGCAACTAACTGCCAGGGTAAACAAGAGTTACAAAGCTCACAGAAGGATCTCAGTTTGGGAATAGTAATTTTTTTTAACCTCAGTATACTGCTGTGTCCTTCTGAAAGTACTTTGAATTATACTGTCTTCTTCAAAGCAGGTCTGTGAAGCTTTGGGGACAGATAAATTCCAGCTCCACCACTTACTGGCAATGCGACATTTTTGAGTTGTTCTTTCCATAAAACAGGACAGATACTACTTTGGAGAGTTGGTTTAATGAGACAATGTGAGGAGAGGAGTGCTCAGACTCTAGTAAAAGGTGGGTCCCTACTGAAAAGGCTCAATTAATATTAGTCCCTTCATCTTCTCCTCCCATATCTCTTGTCTCCCATTATACACATTTCAACTTTTATATTGTAAGGTAAAGACACATAATAAGGTCAGCTGAATGGCTTGGGGCTTAGGAAACAAACTCAAAAAGACATTTCCCTCTAACTACTCTTAAGCATAATCTTTCCTGTAACATCTTTAAGCAAGTCAACACATTATTACCAATCATGTTTTCAATGTTCTCCTAAGGAGGCTAAAATTAGAACTGAGGTGGAGAAGTATGGTTGGCGAATTACTTAGCAGATCATGATATAAGGACAAGGTCCACCGTAGCCCTTAAGATGTCACAAAACGTTGCAAAACCATTCATGGCTCCTGCTATGAACAACAATCCTGGCCAAATTTTAATTATTGGACAAAGTGCAGAAAATAGCCAATGCTTTGCCATTGATCTTTGGGATCTTAATAATACTGAATTAGATAGTTCTATTAGCTGGGGTCTCAGTGCCCTTGTTTGAAATTTATTGAGATTAGACTGCAGATGTTCCAAGATAACAACAATTTTCTAAAATGTGTAACCAATGGAAATCTTCTTTCTTTTAGGGTTGGGTTGATAATCTAAATGGACCTAGCCGACTCATTATTGCGGTATGTATAGGGATGAAGAAATAACTCTGAAATGTAGTGGAGGAATAGTAACAGAATTCTTAGTGCTGGCTTAGCTTCATTGATCCAAAAACGTAAATGCTACTTTACTATCAATTGAAGCATATTATTTCAACTATTCTGGTTATAATATGAAGGCAGGATGAAATTATTTTTATTCTTTTAGAATTTTTTATCAGGAAAACAGGTAAAGCGCTATCAATTACTATTTAAGAGTTCTATTTTGAAAAGTCTTTGAGAATTAAGGATTTTTCTTTTTTCTTTTTTAAAAAAAAAAAACTTTTTTAAACTTAAAAATAAAACCAGCAAAAGTCTTATAAAAATGAAGCGAGTAGCCCAAAAAATGCCCCCCTGCCGCTCTATATACAGTAATGCAATATTTGTCACAGTTTTGTACAATATTATAAAAAATGTCGCAGACAGTACCAATTAAGGCCCTTATTTCTCATAGGACATCAAGCCTTATGACCTGGTGGGGTGGGAGGGAAGATGCCACTTAATTATTGCACCATTTTGAGAAACAGAACTCGTCAAGGCGAATAGTGGTCTTTTCCCACCTGGCCTTCAGTCACAGATGGGGGCTGGGGCGGTGGCGTCGTCTTCAGACCCTCTGTAGCCACACTGTGCCCTGCCCGCTTCTCTGGGTGCAATAAATACCGGTCACAGTTTGGGAGGGGGCCTTGCGCAGGTGGGCGGGGGCGTCTGGGCTGCATGTGCCGCTTCCTGTACAGGGCAAGGTGGGCGGAGCGCGAGAAGGCGCGGTGGCACCAGTGGCCCTGAAATGGCCAGTGGCCCCTGTGCTTGGGGTAGCAGAGCCATAGCTTGTCTGAGTGAGCAGCTTCCCGCTGCATCCATCCCAGTGGCAGTGGTTCGGCTTGTCACTTGTGTGCTGCGCCGATGTGCCTTCGGGTGAGATCTCTTGCTGTGGGGCTTGCCCTAGCCGCGCAGGCATACATGGTGGTGCCTTTCCCAGGCCAGGAGCCGCCGCCACTCTTGGGCTTGGCCTCCAGCAGCTCCAGCCTGGACGCCGCGCCACCACGAGGAGACCGCAGGCGACTGGGGGTGCCAGGCCTAGGCCCAGGGCTGTGGCGGCGGCGCCAAAGCTACCGAAAACGGGCGGGGGTGGTGGTTGGGGAGCTGGGAGCTCTGCCCTTCCGCTGGCGCTGGCTTAGGACACCCAACCGCCTTTATGAGGCGCCCCCAGCC